TTTCTAGGGATTTTTTTTTTTTTTTTTACTTTTTAGCAATGGAAAGAAACTTTATAACCAATTATGAAAAAAATTATCACTTTAATGTACAATTTTCATGTAAAATAAAGCTAAACGAACATAAAATTTAAAAAATTTTCAGGTGAAAAATTACACCAATCAAACACACTTAATTTTCAATTCCCTGCAAAACAATTTTTAGACAATTACTTTCCCTGAAGTTCATTTTCTTTCCACCCTTGCAATCAAACAGACCCTAAGTTAAAGTCAAACAATCAATATTAACCACTTCTTTCATGAGTCCCACAACTTTTCAACCACACATTTCAAAAACGTCTATCACAATTTATTAAAAATGTAATTTTAATCACCACCAAACTTCCACTTAATAAATTGGATGAAGACCCCATCTTCAGTTTTTCTGTCTTGTTTGGTCCACCACTAGGATTTCAACTCATACCTACTAGGTCATTGCAAAATCATTCAAATGTGATATAAACTTCCTTTTCGACTAGCTTTGATTTGATGGATATCCTTAGCTTTTATTTCGTCTATAGTCGAAATTAGATTATATAATTGGGGTTTTTTCGTTGTTGTGCCAACTGAGCAGGTGGACCTCAAAAGTATAAATTGATTGGGGCGTAGATCTCTCACGAGTAAATGAACATAAGAATCATAAATTGGACGTCGACACATTCCTAAATAAGTAACTTTGAGGGTACTTATATAGTTAATTGCTTGATTACGAATCGAACTCATTGATTTGAAACCTTTGGTTAATTTTTTTAATTGAAAGTCAAAACTGTTATGAGCACGATAAGTTTTGACAATGAGTCCTCTGTTTGATCCCCATCTTTAAAAATTCATTTTTCTCAAATTTATTTTTAATTGTACATCCTCTCAATAAAATAAGTTTACATGTAAATTCAAAAATTTTCATAATCCTACATTCCTAAAAAAAATTACTATTGCAAAATATATTCTCCTAAAAAATTAAGAGGACAAAAGTTTAGGGAGGGATTTGAAATTGGGCCTAATAGGAGACCCAAATCTTTACGAAGGAACTGGATATCAACCCAAATTGTCTACTTGAAGGCTGATTTAAATAGAAGTGGGCCTGGCCCAACATAATTCTCAACAGACGGTTTTGGAAAGTATAAAAAAGCTAAAGGCCCGTTTGATTGCAATGGTGAAAAGAAAATGAATTCCAAAAAAAAATAATTGGTTAAAAATTATTTTGTAGGGAATTGTTAATTAAGTGTGTTCCATTAAAGTGATATTTTTTTTTTCCACCATTGGTTATAAAATTTATTTCTATTGCCAAAAAGTAAAAAAAAAAAATCCTAAAAAATCCTAAAAAATCATTTTTTTAATCAAAATTTAGTGTTCGTTTGACTTTATTTTACATGAAAATTGTCCATTAAAGTGAAATTTTTTTAATAATTGGTTATGAAATTTGTTTCCATTGCAACAAAAAAAAACGTGGAATTGCATTTTTCCCATCAAAATGGTAGGAAAATGCTTTCCCTCAAATCAAGGAAAAAGGCGCGTGGGGGTGGGAAAATATTTTACCTAGAAAATATTGTCTATCAAACAAACTAAAAGCAAGAAAATAGAAATTTTTTTCCTACTTCCATGGAAAAAATAGTTTATCGAACGGGGCCTAAATATAAAGAAGCTATGAGGACAGAAGTTCCTTTTAGAAACATACGGGAAATGCAGAATTAAAAATGAGAGAAAATTGTTTATAAAATATCTCGATAAAAATTAAAAAGAGAAGAGAGACAGAGATCTAAACCAAGTTAAGTTGTTAAAGATGAACATAGATTTTTTTTTTTAATTATTATTTGTGATCATAAAAATGGAGGAATTATTTAATAGAAGACATAATGCTGATATTGAGGAGTATTTACAAATGTACCTAAAAAAAATAAGAAGATCCCAATTAAAATTACTTTGAAACTCTCCAATGAGTGGTTGTAGAATAAAAGAACCAGTTATTCCTCAAGTACAGGAATAACTCACAGAATTTTGACAGAATTTTGAATTTCCTACATCATGTCCGTCCTCGTGTATTTTCCCTCTTCCCATCTTTGAATCTATTCCCTCAATTTCAAAATTCTGTATAAAATCTGTATAATTATT